GCCTGTTTCACACATACTCCGTGTGCAGTGCAGTGCGGTGGTGTGCGGCACAGGAGCAGCACGCGCTATTGTGCTTTCACATATGGTGCGTTTGCAGTGGGCAACTGATCTACGGCTGTACGACAAACAACATTAATCCTCTATTTTTTATTTCAAATCACTATTTATATTATTAGTGTCTTTTATAAAATAATATAAAAGAGTTTCAGCATTGTGATTCTATTTGTACACAGACAGTAGGCTAGTAATACGCACTCTTTCACAAGACTTAGGCTATTCACGTTTAAATTTATAACACTTAAAAACGTATTATTACTTCTATATAGATTTATATATTAAGTTGCTCAAGCAAGTGGCAAAACATTTATACATTTATGTTAACATCGCAAACATTTTAAATTAAAACATACATAATTGACATAAACAGCTCTCTCATACCTTTTCTTTTGCATTTAAATCTTTTTTACAAGAAATATTGCAATCACAAAGAACTTGTTTCACGAAGAGACAAGTGCATCCATTATGTCGCGTTGTTGAGGTAATGTTACTGTGTAGTTTCCTTGCTTTAATTACCCCGAGCTTAAAGTTAAAAAGAAAATGATTGAAAAATAGTATAATTTTTTTTTTTACTATATTAGTAAAAAGATTACTATATTTTCATATCAATCCGTGTTCATTTTGACCATGAACCATGCGCTGTCACTTTAATTCAGCACGTGCAGCACAGCAGAAATAGACTGTGTGGAAACGATCACTGCACTGCTGTATACACACCGCTCCTGGAACGCATTGCCGCACCGCATCCGCGTGCAGGCCTGTTAACATGGGTACGGAAAAAATATATAGCCTACATATGCACTGCAAACGGAATATGTGTGAAACAGGCGTTAGCCAGAACTGTTGCCCATACAGAGTATAGTTTGCTGCTGCTCGTCGGACGGCTTAAATCCGAACCAATCTATATGGGGAGGCTGCAGACCTGGAGCCGGCAGATATACGCCCCTGGCAGTTTTACGCCCCGGCAGTTTTAGGACCCTGTTGTTCCTGATGCGTCCAGTAGAGGGATATACTGCGAAATAACATCATTAAATCGACGCTTACACATTAATAACCCGTCCATAGACTTGACAATTTTGTGTTTTTTGTTAATTTAAATATAAACGTTACAGTGTAAATCTCCACGGATTAAATTTTCTGTAGATATTCAGTTGGGCTACACTCTCTTCACTCAACCTACAGAAGACCAGGGGCGTAATTTGTGGGGGGGATGGGGGGGATATAACACCCCCCCCCCCCCCCCCCCCCCCCCCCAATATTTAAATCTATGCATTACAACCCCCCCATTATTTATACCATGATCACAATATCAGGAGGCATACCCAAACTTCAACCCCCCCAATGTTCAAACCAAATCTACGCCCTTGCAGAAGACTATTTGTTTTTGTGAATTGAAAAATTAAAAATACACATAGTTGGATCAACTATGTGTTATGACAGGTGATGCTATGACCTACTGCAGTTATAGGCCAATTCACCGTAGGTTTTTATACACAGGAGACTGAGTGAAATATGTTTTTGTGAATTTATATAAAGTCACATTTAGATATTAACTATATTTAGCCCATTAGACATGCAGTACCGTGTAATATGGATCCTCGATGAAATATCTGCTGTACTATTCTATTGGTCATCATACAGCTACAAAACAGTGTCCTACACAGCATTTTTATGAAGACAAACACAATTTATCCCTTTTCTAAAATTCCATGGGCCATTTAGAAGATATAGACAATATTGTTGTTCACAAAAAAATATTTATTAACACCATTTATGAATTATGATGACTCCCCTATGGTTTGCCACTCTTCTTTAACTGTTTTTTTTTTTCTTTAACTGCTCCTGCTCACTGATGAAACATTAAAAAATGAAACATTAAAAAAGTTAAAAAGGACATCCATGGTGAATTTGACCTTGTCCCTGTGTGTGTGTGTGTGTGTGTGTGTGTGTGTGTGTGTGTGTGTGTGTGTGTGTGTGTGTGTGTGTGTGTGTGTGTGTGTGTGTGTGTGTGTGTGTGTGTGTGTGTGTGTGTGTGTGTGTGTGTGTGTGTGTATTTCCTTAAGCAAACACACCTTTATGAGATCCAAGTTAAAGAGAACTTGGTAAAGACAGAGTCTTTTTTGTGTGTTCACACCATAGACTAAAAAAAATTCACATATTTCCATTATCTACTGTAATATTGCTCTATAAACCATGTGGAGTATGTTTTAATGCAAGGAGTAAACAGAGTCTTACCAGAAGAGGCCAAGCTGAAGACAGGCAACAAAAGAAAATTCAAATTCAAATTAATTTTAAATTGAGTAGAGAAGATAGGGGAAGCTAAACCTACACGTGGTTAGCTAAGTTTAAGCCAGATAGAACAGAAACTTGTCAAAATACATTATAGACCCATCCATTGATATATAAATGAATTGATATCTACCTACCCTAGCTCTATCGAGCTAATCGTTTATAAATAATAAATGTTGCATCATTGCTAAAAAACAATAACTTTAGCAGATTATTTAACATACAAACGACAGAATCTATTTTTGTCAGATTTTAATTCTAACGATGTTAAATTTGATTATACGGTATTATTACTTTGTCTTCTGGGCAAGTTTCATCTTCATAAAGACAGAACCATTCAAAGTAATCCTGATTCTAGAATATTCTCCTCTGATATAAAGTTCATTTTTTTCTTCCTTTAAGAAAATGTCAGAACCTTTAAACTCAAAGGTTTATAAAACAAATAATATCATTGAGTCTGTTGTAAAGAACCTTACATGTTTTTATATTGACAAAATGTAATATTGCATTGATTTGTGTACCCTAATTCAATCTCTTTTGATGTCCGTTTACCCCCCTTGTTTTTTTGTTAAACAGATAATTTAATCCGTGCAGATCTACACTATAACGTTTATATTTAAATTAACAAAAAACACAAAATTGTCAAGTCTATGGACGGGTTATTAAGCGTCGATTTAATGATGTTATTTCGCAGTATATCCCTCTACTGGACGCATCAGGAACAACAGGGTCCTAAAACTGCCGGGGCGTAAAACTGCCAGGGGCGTATATCTGCCGGCTCCAGGTCTGCAGCCTCCCCCTACTCGAACCAATGGATGTTGCACCGGTTTTTTTTACCAGCTCCTCCGTTTCGCTTTCAGCCATGTTTACTCAAGATGTCGAATACGATGATGCGTTGCAGCCGTTTGCAGCTCGTGGCTCTAAATTTTGCGGGTAGATTGCGTCAACATGCATTATCGCGATAGTGCAATATAATTAAAATCCATATCGTAGACCAATTTTGTATCGTTTATATTGCATATCGTTTATATCGCCCATTACTACTTTAAAGCTCTATTCCTTTAAGCCAAGATAGTAAAGTAAATGGGCTTTCTATAAGCAACTCAATGCTTTTGTCCACTGGCATGGTGACAAATTACCTCTTCCCACCTGAAAGTACTGGAAGTTCTGGATATATGCAGTACAGCAGGATTTTTAGAGCTGTAACCACGTCCTCTCTTCAATCTAAAGTAATTTAGCCTAGTAATTGTGGAGAAAAATGCTTGAAAGCATGATAACTTCTGTAGGTTAAAGGAAGCAGATGCCATATTGGACTGTGTGTAAATCATCCCCTTCATTGTTCTTTTGAGGTCCTTCCCTCAGGTCGGAGATTTAGAGTCCCTTGTTTTAAGTCCAATAGGACTAAGAACTCTTTTATACCAAGTGCAATTCGGTTGCTAAATTTGCAAAATTCTATGACCTAGATGAGTAATAGTGTAACAGTGTTTTTAATTAGAAGTTTGTGTTGTTTATTGGTATGTGTATGTGGTGTTTACCTGTGTGTCATCTGTATGTTTACCTGGCTGCAAGACTAGTTTCCCTTAGGGGACAATAAACTGAAACTGAACTGAACTGAATATTTGCCCAATGTCTCACTGATTGAGAACAGAAGATTACTGTGATAAACTAACTGGCATTTTACTTTAAAACTGCCTCAAAGTCACTTGCACATACTCTTGAGTAAATCAAATTCAATCTATAGTAATCATGTATATTGATTACGGTGATCTTTTATACATGCACGCAGCTACTTCACTACTTAGGAAATTAGACACTGTGTATCATGCTGCTTTACGCTTTGTTGCTGGTGCAGAGTCACGGACGCATCATTGTATTTTGTATGATACTTTAGCTTGGTCATCTTTGCATCAAAGGAGAAAGCTACATGTATTTATTTATTGTAAAAGCTCTTTTAGGTAAATTACCTTCTTATATATCAAGTCTTTTAATTTATTATACAAATAGTTACCACACCAGGTCTGGCTCTTATATTCGGCTAAAAGTCCCAAGGGTATTTTCAGAATCTGGTAAAGGTGCTTTTTCTTTTTATGCTCCTTGGGCTTGGAATGAGTTGCAAAATGTACTTAAGTTAGATGCACTTCCAACTCTGACCACTTTTAAACGTCTCTTGCATACTGCTTTGAAGGAGACTTGTAATTGTCTTTCTTGATTCGATTTTATCTGCTTTGTTCAGAAACATGTTAAATGTGGAATTGTTATACTGTGATTCTGTGTGAAACTTAATGTGCTGCCGTCTTGACCAGGTCTCTCTGGAAGAAGAGATAGTGATATCTCAATGTGATTCTCCTGGATAAATAAAGGAAATAATAATAATCTACTGTCTGAACCACAGTCTCGACTGCTCCATTATTATACTGTTGCTTTATTAATTAATTTCTTCTGCTGGCCTTGCAGAGGCCATTGTTTAATGTTCTGAGTCAGATCTCTGTTAACCCTGGCTGTATTTCACCTTTAATTAGAAGTGTACGACCTTCAGACTGGTTAATTATCTGGGCTTTCTCCAAACAGATAGTTAGCAGCTTCATTCTTACACTGACAATCTTGTTTAAAATCTCTTGACTCTAAAAATATCTTCTCACCTTTCTCAACCACAGAAAAAAGACCCACTGGCGCTCTCCAAAAAGCCGAACAATGCCTGCTCATCTGGAGTTAACTTCACCCCCAACATCACAAAGGATGCGGCTATCTCCACCATCTCCAACAGCACCACTGTTCAGTTGAAGAGCGCTGAGACCAAGCCCGCAATGGACCCCAAAAAGACCTACAACAGCGTCAGCAAAATTGACAAGATGTCCCGGATAGTGTTCCCGGTCCTCTTTGGGACTTTTAACTTGGTCTACTGGGCCACATACCTCAACAGGGAACCGGTGATTAAAGGTGCCGTTTAACCCACACAAAATACCCAACGCCACCGCAACATTCCCTTCACAGCCTCTTTTTCTTCTCCACTTCAGTATTCAGCAACATGCTATCCTCGCTGAAAATGATGACGAGCACTCATTTACTGCACCTCTCACTTCGCTAACCTATAAGAGGAGTGCTCTTCTTGCATTTCTTTCCTGATATCATAAATTGCATGGGAATATAATTGCCATATTTGCCTTGACTTGTTTTATATTTCCCTATTGCATTCATCTTACAATGAAATGAGTGCCATACAAGGTACCATTTCATTCATGAAAATTTTCCAAAGGACCTGAACAAAAAATTAATGCATTTGGCATCAACATTTATCACAGACTAAAAAATGATTTATGAAAAGAAGTACAGCAAGGCCAAATGCTATGCAAAAAAACGTTTTCTACTATGTCGTAATGGGTAATTGCTTATAATGAAACCCTTGCTTTGTATTAATGGACTTGAGGCTTCTCTACTTAATGTTTAATAGCTTTAGCATCAGTGGTGTAAGGCAGGCAGATGCTATGCTATGTTTTAGCCATGCTAAAAATGTTGCCTTCAGAGGGATTACTTCATACGAGTACCTGGGAATGTCCCGCAATTACTGATTTCACTTTCATTTGTCATTTTTTCTAAGCTTTTTTGAAGTAGCTCAATAGAATTGTGCACCTTAGGCAGCTTTTCACACTTAAGACCAAGATATTCTGCAAGGTGAACAAGGTCGGGTTGCAGCTAAGACTTTCAAATAATTTGTACATAGCTTGTGTATGCTTTGCTTTTAATGTAGATGCGGCTTAACATTAGTGAGGAAGAGCTGAAAATGGTTATGCTACGCTACTCTAATGTGCAGCCAAAGCGACATGATTGGGAGCTAGGTTGCTGATGGTGAAAACACAGATTGTGTTGTGAAATACTGTAGGCTTTGACAGAATATGCCATTTCTTTTACAGTTAATGGTTTTAACTTGGCTTTTCATGCTGTTTAGGTGGCAGCCATTTTCTCACTTTTCTCTTTGTTGTAAATTGGTCAGTGGGTTTTGAGGTTAGAACGAGTCAGCAAAAGCCTTAAATGTTGACACCTTTTTTGCATTACCAAGACTAATGTGAAATGATCACGTAAAAAGTTCTGAAAACAAAATGAAAGAAACATTTACATAGAATAATGAATACTTTTTTTTCAGATTCTCAATATGTGAAGACAGAAAGAAGGTCAAACATACAGTAGAAAGGTGGAACCTGCTGTTGTCAAGCATGTTAAAATGGAAATGTCACACCATAATGCCATTTCTGGCCTTCAACTGAAACGCATGGCTACTTACTTGGGGAATTACATGGAGGAGAGAACAATGACCTTGTTACTGCGAAAATGTGACTTGGGAAGATTTGGTTTTTATCCTGTAATCATTCTATTCTGAACTTGTTACATGGAAGTGAAACGGCACAACGAACTAAGTGACCTAATGGATGATGTGTAGCTCATTAAGAGGCCAACTACAAGAGCCATTAAGCTCCTCTCTTCTGTATGCCACTCAGGCCTATAGGAGAATGAATCATGAAAAGTGTTCAAGTGAGTCGGTAGTGTGCCCTTTTACAACAATGGATGTTTCCAGAAATGTACAGCTGTTCCTCAAAGCATACATGTCTGAAGCAATAAATTCTGCCTGATATGTTTCTTGACCAAGTTCTGTGATTACTTCTGTTCAAAGACATTTCTTATGCAATCTTTAGAATTAAACTGTCCTAGAATGTTTGTGACCTTACAAGGAAATGTTCCCAGATTGATGAGCTCAGTTAAAGGAACGAAGATCAACAAGGACTTTATTTACATCAAAGATAGTATGCTGCTCGTTTGTGCTGGACCATGTGCCATGATATTGTAGGGGTTTTATGTTTATTGGGTTCATGGCTGCTATTCACAGGATCATGGCAATAAGACTGTGCACACGAAGCTTAGCATGATGTTTTCCTAATGGAACAGTTGCTGCAGAAGCCACTGTAACTGGAAGAAGGATTCTTCCTGGGATTACTCCTGGGATTATACAAAACACACACACACACACACACACACACACACACACACACACACACACACACACACACACACACACACACACACACACACACACTGGTATTCCTATCATTATGGGGACATTCCATAAGCGTAATTGTTTTTATACATATACTGTTTAACTGTATATTCTATCCCCCTACACTACCCCTACCCATCACAGAAAACTTTCTGCATTATTAGATTTTCAAAAAAACATCATTGTGTATGATTTATAAGCTTGTTTCCTCATGAGGACCTTACAAATGTCCCCACAAGGTAAACATTTACTGGTATTACTATACTTGTGGAGACATTTGGTCCCCATAATATATGGATTACACACACACACACACACACTCAAACACAAGAAAACAAGTATGCACACATCAAGACCAGAGGTCCAGGAGCAGGGAGGATGCGGAATCCTTCCTCTGGTCCTGTGTGTCGGCAACATCTGGCCCACATCTGTTTGAGAAGGATTTAGCTTCACTTAAGTTGCTTTTTCCAACCAGTGCTCCTATACATAGTACCAAATTAAACTAGGACCAGTGCAACCAAGTGACTGCATTGTGAGTGCTACTAGCATATTGCTGGACACTGACAGCTGTGCTCAGTGTGTGATGTCCTGTACATAGTACAATGAATATACAAATTAAATTTGTGTATTCTACGCATTTACATGTTTGTCACCATTCTTAAGTAAGCTTTATGAATGTTAAACTATGCTGTTACTTTGTTTCAGAGTCACACTGACGTTCATTTGATATGTCACAGTCTTGTTGGGGGCTCACAGAAAGACTTTACTTCATTTTATTACATGTAAGGCAAGTGTAAGCCACTCCAATATACTGAATTCATCCCTCACACAATAATGCACAGCATGCCAATGGACGTTAAACCTTTAATCCCCAGAGTGGCGGAGTGAGAGCTTGGATTCCTATTCCTGGTGCCGGACCGGAATTCCGCTAGTGTAGAGTTTAGAAGCTGTCACTAAGATGTGTCATTACAGATTTATGTTTGTATCGTGGATAGCTACCCAGTTGCTGTCATTTTATTATTAAGAAAAAAAAAACCATAGATTGCATATCCTAAAGCTGAAAATGCATTTTCTTATTAAAAAGGGTTTGGTTATGTCACTATTTTGATTTAATCTATTGTGCAGAGATGACAGCTGAAAAGCATTTAAAGTGGTAGTGGCATGATTGTTAACATGGAATACATTTGAAAGTGACAGATAACATATTGACCATCCACAATTGAAGCATAGAGATGTCACAACTGGCAATGATTTAAAGGCATAGTCTTCAAAACAGTTGTACACTGTAATATTTGCATCATTATTGTCATAATGTATTTGTTTCCATCCATTTCACTATCAATGTTTTTTTTTTTTATTGATTTTAATCATTTTGCTTTTACGGGCTTTTGTTGTGCATTTGTTTCCTTAAATTCAAAGTGGTCTAAAAACGGCACGTTTGTTTTCACTAGAAGGTTTGGCACTACTTTGATTGTACATCAATAATTAAGTTTTCAATTCTAGTGAGTTTCCTTGTGGGTTAGCTGCATTCCTTTCTTGTTCTCCCACTAAGTTTGGTTTAGTACTAGCCTATGTGGTTTAACTGTGCTGCACTTCCAATCTGCATTACTGTAATCAGCCACAAGAGGATAGTCTATCATGCATTTGAACTGGCCGAGTTCATGCTCTCACTAACCCAAAAAGGGAGACACGACACCGTCACAAGAACTTGGAAACAGCGATTTAGCTCGACGTGTAGTTTGATTATTATTAAAGCTGAAGTGTGTAATTTCTTATATGTTAAATACTTAATCCAATATTTAGAGACAATTGGCTTTATGCACAGCTTCACTACTTCCTGAACTTCAGCCAGCCCTTTGTTTCCTGTCTGTCATTATTGGACAAACTGATTAATTCAGGTGTGCCTGGCCTCAGTAACAATAATCAGGCACACCTGGATTAATCAGTTTGTCCAATAATGACAGACAGGAAACAAAGGGCTGGCTGAAGTTCAGGAAGTAGTGAAGCTGTGCATAAAGCCTATAAGTAAGGCATTTTATGCTGATGTTTCTACTAAATTGCTTTGTGGTGCTACCAAACTTTCGATCCCGACAAGCACGTCATAGACTCGACCAATGGCGTGTGTTTGGACCGGGACGATCTGTTTGCTGACCAATGGCAGACGGAGGGAGAGTGCGCGAGGAAACCTGTTTGAAACAATCGCCATTTTTTAAAATTGTTGTTCGACGCAAGTGGAGCAAAAACACTTCAGCTTTAATGGAACTCGTTATTTATTTATTTATTTATTTGTTTTTGATTAAATGTCACAAAAGACTTCTTCTAAATAATCAAAAGTCGAAATTTTTTAAGCGTAGCACATTTACTGAACTTTCTAGAGAGAAGTCAGGAAAAATATCACAACACGCAGAGCAAAGCCAGAGAGAAAGGGCTTGTTTTTTCCCAAAGTGCGTGGGCGACTGGGAGCTGCCTGTGGTGATAAATGTCGGCGCTGTCTCTCAAATATTATACTGCATATGTGCACCTGCTCATACAGACATAACAATGCGAGGACAAAGTATGGATAGACATTTCTCCAGCTTTAAAGGTTAAATTAGCAGCAGTAGTTATGTATATCCGAGTCAGATAGTAAAAGAAAGAATGACGAATGGCATTTCACTTGCAATAATATGGCAGAGTACAGAAAACTGCAATTTGAATTTATATTTATGCCAGAAACATCAGCATGTGCGATGCAATGAATAATACGCGACGCGGTAATAATTAATTCGACTCTAAATTGGATGATGACATTTTCTACACCCTCAATCTTGCTCTATTATCTGGTTAATCGCACTGCGATCAATGCACATGCAAAGTAATTGCAGCAATTATGCGCCAATTTTCATTTGGAACACATAGTCCGCGCGGTAATCATTTACCTAGCTGATACTGTAAACAGCCGCTTCTGAATGTCTCTCCTCGAAGCATTCTGACGCTGAAAATATCAGATGTACCCGAAGATGATGTCAAGTTCCGCTGAAGCGTCTGGGAAAGCAGACGTTGTTTTTTATGACGTAATTTGGAGAAACTAACGGATGCGTTAGAGGTTTGAATGTGTCCACTTTGTAAGTTTGCGCTCTGCCTCTGTGTGAACGTCAGTATGTGTATCTGGTGGTGCAATCTAAGGCAGCGCAACTTCAAGGAGCAGGAGGGGCTCTCCTATTATTTGATCTCGCTAATTGCCAATGCAAGTGAACTTTAAGCACCGGACACTAAGCCGAGGAGGTCTTACCGTTCCCGTTGGACTATAACCTATAGACTACTCGCCACTGTTTTAATTGAAGCTGGAAGAAAAGGGCTGCAGCTCTGTCACTATTTTTTTTTCTTCTTAGAAGAGTCTCCGTGTTGAATGTGGCACACTGCACGGAGTCAATCTCACCTAAAACATGTCCACCAAATTGTTCCTCTACTTCTTACTTCTGTCAGTGTTTCGTGCATGGTAAGTGACGTTGCTACCCTCTTTGACTTGACATGAATTAATTGTTCATAAGGGTAATTCTGTTTATCCGTAGCAGATTTCAGCTGCAGTCTAGCCTGATGTCACATTATATCACCAATCTGGCGATTAAGATGTGATGCACGCACTGAGCACCTAAGTTTAACAATAAGTCTTTTGATTTGTGCTTTTTAAGAAGTTCAAAATACTTTATTTATTTCAATCTTTGCATAGGTTTTTTTCTTTTTTTTTCTTGGTAAGACTACTGTCATGTCATGTATTTAAACAGCATCTCTGTGGTTGTTATCTGCTAGATTGGTCTTTGCTTGGGTTTCCTGATAACATAGAAAATGATGCTTTTAAAATAATTTTAGCTACCGTCGTAGCCCACGTTATTTTACGGTAGAGATAACGCATGCGTTCGTCGTTACCGGAGCTGTCAGTTCCAAAGGTGCTGACCTACGTGTGTCCAAAAGTTTGTATTCATATCCAGAAAATAGCGTGAAAATTGCATGCTATTTTGTCGAGGTTCTGAAAGTTGTTAAAAAGTTCTGAAATGAATTATAGAAATGATAATGGCTTTGGTAGGAATTGGCTCAACTTGTGATGAATAATTTGCACGAGATGTAAATCGTGCATCTTGTGTCTATGTGACTATGTCTCTGTTATACTGACTACCAAAGGCTACTGGAGCAGACATGAACCTGCCCTTGTAGGAGAAAGAGTCACTCAAATGTCCTTTGTTAACATTGTTTATATATATATATATATATATATATATATATTTGTAGGTTAAACGATATTGTTTTTCTTTGATCAGTTTTCCTATTATTTTAATGTTTAAGTGTCATATCTTATATTTAGAACTGATATTTAATTTTATTTCTAAATCTTAAAAATGTTCTTTCTATCTTTTTGTTTACTAATGCTATCCTAAAAACATATGTATTTATGATTTTTTATAGTAATAATAATTAAGCCAATTATTTGTTGATTATCTCTATGAATATGTTTTATTTAATTAAACTTGATTTTCCTTGGGAAATATATACCATAATGGAGAATATATTGCCTCTCTATTGCAATTAGTTACTTAAACTTATCAAAGTATAGGCCTTCAGAGCTGGCATATAAATGTAGGTCTCTGAGGGTGTTTTTTTCAGATAGTGTACAGTGATTTGCAATGATCAAAATACATTAATATAATTTAATTAGCCCTCTGGTCTCTGATAAAATGCTGAAAAAAGAGAAATACCCATTTTAAGTGGCATGTAATGGACTTATGTGTGATTAGAGGCTGTAGTTAATTTATGAACGTTTTTACATGCTATTTGGATAATGATGATTTTGGGAAACATGACGTATAGAATCAGTACTACTTACTCTGCGTGTGACTAAAGTTCTACTGAGTGCTTTGGGAAACCCAGCCTTTAACTGTCATTTAGTGCAACTGTGAAACGGTTTCTACTTCCATATTTTTTTTTTTATATATATTTTTTTTTGTCTGATTGCTAACCAGTCCTCTGTACTCTCAAAAAAATTGAAAGTTTTATCTGAAAATGGTGACTAGTGAGCTTCTGTTATTCCACATTGCTGTAACGGTTAAATTCTGACAGATGTACTTTGTTAAAACCAATTGCAAATGTTGTCTTCAAAACAATGGATTATTGAATTGAAACACAGAGAATGACCCTAATGGTGACCTGTGAAATGCATTTTCTTTTATTTATTTAGTTCTCAAACAGCCGCTTCTGAGGATGATGAGTATGACGACGTTACTGTGAATCAAATGTTGGCCCCCAAAACCCACGAGACAGACGCAACGCAAATACTAAACAACTTACTAAAGGAGTATGACAAAAAACTACGTCCGGATATCGGAGGTGAGTGGATTTGTAGATGTGAGCATTGAGAAGTCCGTGTAGCTGTGTTGCGCTGTCCATGGTCCTGAAATCAGTCCAGCTTTACAGCATTCAGCCTTACCCATCTTGAGGCTCCATTTAAAGTCCAACTGATGTGTTTACCACAACAATTCATGCATTTGCAAACTGATGAAGTGCATTAGCTTTATACTGAAGAGTATAAAGTAGAGAATTGCTCGCACTCGCAAATTACACTAAGCAACGCAATTTTCCTTACTAGTAAGAATAAAAATGTCAAATGTATTCACTGTTTGAGAGACATTGAGAGTGAGCAAAAGCTAGACTTCTGGTTTATTGTTTTACATTAAGTAATTGAATTCCTGCAGCAGTGGAATATTTTCCTGTGATTTTACTACTTATTTATACAGGCATTTCATGTTTTTCTCCTACCCTTTTCCTTTTTTAACCATATAGCACTCTTAATAGCCACATGTACTGCTCTACAATCCACTTTTGCATGTAATCTCACATATTTGCTCGTTTTCATGAGAGCAGGATTCATAGATCCGGCGGGAAATTTCAGGCTTTCCGTCAGAATAACATGAAATTGTCATTTCACTCAGACTAACAACATATCTCAGGGTTGAGATTGATGCTATTTTCTAGTAAATGCAACTAAATAGAGTGCCATGAGAGGAAATCACAATCTGCAATTCAAGCAGCACATTCTGTACTCGATCTGAGATGTCACCACACAACATCACAACCGCTCTTGACACATCTGTCAGGTCTGTTATTGGTTTTGTGGCATCGTTGTGATATATTGCATCCTATTGGATTCGAAGCATTTTAGAAAGCCTATCCCTGCAAAAACCTTACCGTTTCTACATGTTTTTTGTTTCCCTTCAATGAGAATAACAACCTCCCATGTTTGATGGATGACAGTCTCCAAATTATATTTCTTATACTACCATCTGATTTTTAAGAGGAAGACTATGTTTATGTGCTCTCTTACACACACACACACACACACACCACACCTACAACAACCCACACAAATCAAGCATATTGCCTCAGAGCCACCTTGCCGTGAAATAGCTTTTGTTTTTCCCTTTTGTAGCTCGCCTTTCTGGAGAGAACTGTACTGCTATATAACAATCAAGGATGCCACTGAATGGCTGTGATACTATGTATGAAGACAGCTACATGAGACAGTGTTAAGGAAGTAGAAAGATTCCAGTTGAAGTCCATAGAAATTGAGAAGCTTAGATGGTGGGCACGTCTCAGATCTGCCAACTCAAGTGCAGAGTGGGTCAATGAAAAAGGCTCTAATACACTTTCAACAACTGTTGAGACCTTCTGTTTCAACACAAACACACAGAGAGAGATAGTGAGAGAGCCAGAAATGTAATTTTCTTGTTTTGTTTTTTATAAATATTTGTGGCTAGAAAAAAAGAGCTCTTGAACCAGATTCTCACATGCAAGTTATGAAGTACAAGATTAGAGTCCAAATAATAAAATCCTCTTGACCGTAATTGTTTACCAGTGTTTCAGTATTAAGATAGCGTGTTATGCTGTCCAGCTTCGTGTTTATTGAATCAGCGGGTTTGCAAATTAGCATTACTGCAAATAGCACAATTATAGATAATGTATGAAGTCTTAAAAATAAACAACTCCTCAGGAACTTCTGGTACCTTTATAACATCAGCACTAGTTAAACTTTTCCTGATTCTTTCTGGAAACATATTAGCATGAAAATCATCTTCTTTGTAGAATCGTCCTTTATTTGCGCATAAATCCCTAGATTGTTCAGTAAACCCGCCTCAATGAGATATGATACATATTGATTGTGTTTTCTCTATGGAAAAAACATGGAGATGATTGCAGAAACTCATAGAACTTAAATTCAGTTTGTTTTCCCCTTTGTCCTCTATAAAGTGGTAAAAAAAATCTACAGATGCTGCATATTCCTTGTTTTATTTGTCAAACGTGCACCAACATTGTATTGTGAAATATGCTAACAATGAAAGATTACAGAACAAAGACCCTAATCAGAGCTCTGCTGGTACATTACAGACTGTTTATCTACATATTGTCTGAAATCCCCTTGTACTGAAAACCGGTGTATTGTACGTTGTTATTGTCATAATAATCCATTTTACTGTGCTTGTACAAAGGACTCTCAGGTTATTTTTCTATTCTATTCTTATTATGCCTGTTACGATAGGAGGAGCTTCTGTAAACACTTGCCACTGCCAATTTCCTGATTCTCCATGATGTTGTCCTCAAACTCGTCTACAAGATTTTAGTTGATTATGGGTCCAGTACATTATCCCAAATGCCTGTGATTAATAGTGCATTAACGTCACTGTTAAACGTGGCAGTGTTTTATGGAGCTTGTTAACGTATGCTAGTCCATCTGTGGATGTGAATTAGCTGGAAATGTGCAAGTAGGGTCCAAAGAACCTGTTGCTTCGAGCTTGTTTTTATCGTCTTTGTTTTCTTAATAGGGTCCATTTTGCCAGTGAATGGACCAGTGATTTACTGACTTCTGGGTGTTAGCATCAGATGGTACTCTCCCCTCTTTAGCATTCATTCGTTGTGTTTTGCTTCTTTTGTTGGCCAATGTTCAATGTGCCATCTGTGCTAAGCTCAATCAGCTAGTTACAAGGTTGTCTTTTAAAAGGGTCACATGGCTACTGCTCTTAGTGTACTGCGTTCTAAAAGCATGAAAACGACTGGTGCATTAAAGCTAATATGCCGTGCAATTAGAGTGAGGGGCAGATGCTTTTTTCAACAAGGAATTCAACAGTATTAGACTAAATCACACTGACATGTTTTTGGAAAAGATGGATGCATATTAAACAGTGTTACTAACAGGCTAATTAGCTTTTTTGACATGCAGTATAGCATTTCATTGAGTCCATCATAAACCTATATGAGTGTTTAATAGATGATGTGATACAAATAATAGGAACACTTTACCCAAAAATAAAAATTATGTCATTATTTACTAATATATAGCAATCACACACACACACATATATATATATATATATATATATATATATATACATTTTTATTGAGTTTATAAAGAATCTTTTCATAGCTCCATTACAGCACCATTAAAGTGGTCAATACAACTTGTGCGCTACATTTTAGATCTTCTGAAGTACTGTAATACAATAGCTCTGTCTTAGGGACAGACCTAACAATGCTGGGTATGCAAGTCGTTATTCACTGATGATCTTAAACGATTTGTTTACAAATATGACTGATTAATTCATTAATTGAGTTTGTTTGACTGAATCAGGGATCCAATTGACTGGAGGGGAAGACATTTTATTTTCTTACTCAAAGCCATTGTATAGCTTTAGAAGACTTTTAACATACAACATAAGTCTTATAGACTACTTTAATAGCATTTTTGATTATCACGGACTGTAAAACGTTTCAATTTGTCATGACAGATTTTTCATTTTTGATGAACTGCTCCTTTAAATGATATGTCTAAACGGATCTCCAGGGGCGTGCATCTGCGCGAGGTATGTATGCACTTTTGGTATTGTCGCAGCAGTAGCAGTGTCACAGTGGCCCAATTGTGTCAGCTCTCTTTTGGGCTGAGCTGTAGGGGAAACCCTTCAAAGTGGGTCAGCCTCCCTCTTCGCTTGCCTTTCATGTGCATTGAGCCTCACTCAGCCGGGCGACATCATTACCAGGGTAAAGGAAAGACTGGGTAAGAGGGATCAGGGACATTAAACGCATGTGACACATGCGCATTGGAATTCAGGAAGCGAATCCTCCTGGCCCATCCATGATATTTTCCTTTATAGGGCGGATGGCGGATGGTGAGTGGCAGACATGCTAGAACAATCTGCTCTGTCTGCTGCATAAATAGAGGGAAAAAGAATCGCTTCACTTTGAATAAGCCCCATGACCAGCCCCCCTGGAGGAACACTCATTATAAAGTGCTAGTTTGTGTTAGCCCAGATTCATCCATGCAGCAGAGAGATGGAGAGAGCTGGGGGCGTGGTGGAGGTGGTGTGGGAAAGCGGGGGGAGGCGGGCTGGTCATTACTATGTTGTGATTTTTTTTATCGTGGCGGAGAGACAGTGTGAGGTGAGAAAGAAGTAATGATCTAGAAACAAAGAGCCAGAATGTGGGAGGGAGGGAAGAAGAGAGAGAGAGGTACTGTACACAAGCCTTCAGGCAAAAGAGTGTCAGTGTAAGAACAATTATGTGCATGTATATGTAAAGTGAGAGTGTATAAAGCTGACTTGTGTAAAGCACATGTCTTCACCTTTAGGCCCTTCTTGCCATCATTGAAAGCAACTTTTGTTTCATCATCAGCCACTAAAAACATGCGAGTTTGTGTGCCAGAATGAGTGTGCTAAAGTAGCACCATAAAAAGATTGGATTCACACAGGCACAAGCCCAGGTGCACCACCTCTCTGAATGCAGAAACCAATCCCTCGCTTTCTTCTCATTCTTTTTCCCCTCATACTTTTTCTTTCCTCTTTCATAATGCTCATTGATGTCAAGGCTTGTGTATATCAGCAGCAGCAGCAGCCCATTCCTCACAGTCCTGGTACTAATCCACATAAGTCACTCTGCCACCGACTCTGTGCATCTGTGGGACATGTTTGCGACATGTAATGCGAGTTAAGCAGCTCGCAGTGTAGCCCTATGTGAGCTAGTTTTTTTTGAGGGGTGTCCCTAGTGATCTACCAGTGTGTTGTTAGCTACATATGTGCCTACATAGCAGTGCATGCATTCCACTAAACTAAGAATTTCTCTTGTTTTGGGGTGCATGGCTTAACGCTAGTGGGCTATTTGTAAATGCATCTACTTGCGTTCTTCCGTATTGTAAATAAGGTGAATAGATTTCATTTGCATATTAAATGATAAAGTTCACATTGCATGATCAACTCGTTAGTCGTTAGCCAACACATGATTCATCTCAACTCAATTAAGCCAGGCACTACTGTGGTTTTACTTCAGACATCTGCTAGCATGTTGTT